GCTGGGGATTCGAGACCCTGACTTGATTCGGGCGTATACCTGGTACTGAGTTTTATGATATGTTGATCAAATTGACTGTTCCTTGTTTTGAGGAGTATTGAGCTTCGGGGTTGAGCGAAGTTGCAAAAGAGAACGTGCTGGTGTGTCGGAGTTTCAAGTTGGAGTAGGTCTCATGCGAGTCGCTGGCTGCCGCATACATTGCGTCACTCTCCCCGTGTAACAACAATCGCAACAATGCCACGGGTAACATGCTAGGCGGAGTGTCGCAGCATTGTCCTTGTCTCACTGACGGCATCGTATCAAGGTCACGGAGCCCCTCCTGAAGCACATCCACGAGGCAGCCCTGGGTTGCGAAGGTTTATAGGTTCAGCTTAGGCTGCGCAGGTTTCTGGTGTACAGTTTCTCAAGTACCAGTCTGCTGCAAAGGGTGGCTTCCAGACTTGCCAACAATGATCATTCAATCTTTACTGACGCCATCCTCGTGCGGTAGCAGGCTTCACCGTCACACTGCTTACCTGCTTGGGTGCATACCGAATTCTATTTGGATTTCGTTGGTGTCCATCAGAATTAGTCCCAAGCTTTGCCAGGAAAGCATGGGGCTTCGAGCAGTATACACACACACTATGATGACATGCATATCTATACGTACATACATACATACTTACGTGTGTGTACATATATAATTATATATATATATATATATATATGAAGTGCAGATGTTGCTTTGCATTGCATTGCATTTAGTGTATTTCTTGTCTCACAAGCGCAATCGAGAGCCTGAGACGTGGACGAGGTTTGCCTCGGTCGGTAGTTCAGGTTTGGGTTTGCTCTTGTTCTCCGATGCCTGTCGCCTGGGTGCTTGTGACATACTCTCGATCCGAAGTCCAAGCAGCTAAGACCCTGCACACCTTCAAGCTCCAGGAGCCCAGGACAAATTTATGAAGGATCCCTTCTTCGCATCGCTGCAACTTTTACTTTATACTCAGCGTAACTTTGCAGAGTTCTTTGCCGGGGGAGCCTGACTGTGAGGTTCTACGCCCTTTCTTGTGCTACTCTGGTGCATACCAGTGCATGGATCAACTCGCTTCCCGGCTCGGAAGTTTGGGACAATTTCTGCAGGGGCTCTACTAATAATTTATTGGCTTTGGGTTTCCATCGGGTCTTAGGATGTTCGGCTCCAGCTTACTGCTTTTGTAGGTTTGAGGGTCTGGGTTTCGAGTTTGGGGGCTGAGTTGTCTGGGTTCGAGTGTTGAGTGCATGCTTTCGATTGAGTCTCACGCGCGGCGGGTCTCATTGTTTCCTTGCAGGCTCGCTTCCGCTTTGATCTAGTGGCTTTAGAGCGTTTGTGTACTTGTCTGGACAGTAAAGCTTGAAGTCGCGAGAAGCAGCCTCAATCCTGAGGAGTTGTTTAAGGCCTTCAAACATGGAGCCGTCTAAGCCCAGGAAGCGACTTCACACCCGAAGCCCGGAAGATCTGAGTTTTGCAAGGCTTCGTCCCTGAACTCCGTCCTCAAACCCCAGGTATGGTCACGGATGGCTCTATAGGTCCCCTGTTAGAAGGGTCCTCGCCCGCCTCCCGGCCAATCTTCCAAGAGACCACTTCGCCGCCTCCAGCCCCTGCGCCCAGGTTGAGAGCGATCCAAAGCCCGGCATGGAACAGGCCAGAAAGAAAAAGCCTAAGCTGACCTCGGCTGCTTCGGTTTTTGCTGTCGAGTTCGGGTGACGGTGTAGCAGTATGAGTCACAACACGAGCGGTTTCAGTCTCGGCGATGTGGCCACAAGCTCTTAAGCACGTACAGTAGGCGCCGAGCTGCAGGCATAAGACGGCGGCTCCAGGCGACAAGAGGCCAGAACTGCTTCAACGGCTCTTTTCTTTCCTTTTACATATGGCAACAGTCAAGTTGGCTTCTTTGTGTTGCCTCGGTGTGCCAGTGTGTCAGGCCAGCAGCCGCTTGGTGATGTGCGCAGTCTTCGTATGTTGTGGCCAGTGCGCGCTTCTGTCACACAAAGACGAGGAGGTGTACCATCGAACAGAGGAGAGAAGGATTTAGGCTACCACCTTGCCGGGGTGAGATGGTAAACAATAGATTTTCGATCTCAACTCGAATCTCCACACCGGGCAGATGTCAGCTAGTAACCTAGCACTTTGGATGGCTCATGCACGGCCCAGCACGCGGCTGCAAGAGTCTCAACTACAGTTTCGGCGAATGCGGTGCAGGCAATCACTCAGCCTGCGGGGGCGAGTGTTCAATGCAACTCCGAAGCCGAGAATCCTTAGTTCAGCTACCGCTTGGCCTGCTCGCAAAAGCTCCTGGAGCACCGTACATGGCTCCAGGCTGTAAAGTCTCAGAAAGCTCAGGAGCAACTCCCCAAGAAAAAGCCGTGAGACACGATAGCCTTTCCCGAGAGTGGCCTTCCTTTGCAGGGGTTTGTTGTTTCTGTTCTTCTCAATTTCAGCGAGTTCTTGCCGGAAATGGGGTTTTAACGGATCCGCGGGTGCGAGGCTCTTGATTTGGCCTAGTTAATAGTTCGTTTGCGTCGGCTCTGGCGTGTGGGATTTGTTAAGTGCGGCTCAGGGCGTGGAGAAGTGATTGGGAGATCAGAAGGACTTGAGGGGAGCTTGGGTGTAAGCAACCCGCCTGCAAGTGGAATCCTGAGCAAAGCCCTGGCTCCCATGCCCCTACGAGTTATCTTGGACCTGGTCCCAAACCACGCAAACTCGAATCAACTACTCGTGGTAGTTAGCAGCAATCGTAACAACAGTTAGTATACTCACAATCACAGCAACCAAAGAAATGCGGCGTTCATAGTGATACTTGCTGTAGTTGCATTGTAATAATAACATGAATGGAAAATAGATACAATAATCATATATAATAAATGCGCTTCTATCATAGTCGGATGTTCAAGTTGCCATCCTGAGCTTGCCATTTGCCGGACAGTCGAAGACTTCCTGTAGCTTTCAAGGGCAAAGGGGGTGGCGGGGCGATCGCACTCGGGTTCAGGGCTAAGGATTTTAGGACTTTAGAATTTCGGGAGGGCGATCGCGAGACTAGACAAAGTAAAGGATGTTTGAGGTCAAAGGGAAACTCTGAGATTTTTATTTGTTGCGTTCCTTGAGCGCTCCCTGCACCAGCAGGTGTTCCCATGTCAGGCTTGTGGTTAGGAAGTGTAGCTTCTCACAGTAATTAATGTGGTTGGCAGCTCCGAAATCATGGCGTGTGGGATGGGTCTTGCACCGTCGCCGCCACCCTTGTCCGAAGCTTCTGAGAAAGAAACTTCATTGCAAATTCGGCGCAGAATGGTACAACCCCACAGGTCCAAGTGAACCCCGAACAGCACATATCCATGCAATCAGCAAGGTTCTGCTGCTGAGAAAGTATTCATTGCTGGCGATGCAATGCCTCCCGAGAAGCCACTAAGACAAGACTGACAAGTTGATGGATGCTGTGAAAATCCTCACTTCGACCCGGTGGGTTACGCAAATGTCCAGTTGGCGAAGCCAACCTCTGAATCCGGCTGAGTCGCATCCGAGGCTTGGAAGTGCAGCCCGTTAGGTGGGCCACGAAACTAACAGTAACAGCAAAGGCAGGAATGAGCATTCCGCCCAACAGTGAAGGCGAGACAGGTGTCTTCTTGCTGACAGAACGGGCCTTCTCCTTCAAGGTACTGTATGCTGCTTGAGTTGTAAGAGTTCAGAACTGCATAGGTTTGGGTGCAATAGGGTGGTGAGTGGTTGTCTCCATGTGGGTTTCAAGTCTCCTGAACGAGATCATACTCCACGGTGTAAATCAAAACTGAGTTCCCGCCAAGCCCTAAACCACCAAGCCAAATCGAGGGAGTACACTGCACACCCACTACTATAGTGGCCTAAGAATTACCAACACTATTCTGGTGGTTCCTCATTATAAGTATAGTATAATGGGCCCCAGGACCCTATTCGAATTATTGAGGCCCCTATGTTAGCCGAAACGCCCTGGCCCCGTCCGGTTCCATGGTGTCGATTGCGCATCACCTTTTTTCCGTCCAGCTCCCAAGCTGCATCCTGTCTCGGCTTCATGCGGGTGGTTGTCAAAATTAGGGTACCTTTTTGGGTCCTTATTATAATACTGCACCTAATATTTAGGCTACCCAAAAAGGGACCATAATTTTGACAACCACCCATGTGGCTAAGAGCCTGCAAAACACTTCAGCGGGCTTCAAGATTTGCTGTCACTTTCCTTTGGAGCTCTGTGAGCCCTTAGGTCACTAGGGATATTCGATGTGGTTTCGAGTTCCCACGTAACGAGATCCTTAGCTCGATAGACCATTCTACATCCAGCCGAGCCTCTAAAGAACGCTTCACTCCAAGTCCGGTCATCTCTGCCTGCGCGTCCTGATGCGAATTCGGACACCACAAAAACCCTCTCCCACATCGTCAGCTCGAAAAGCGCGAGAGATTCAGCTTGCTCGGGTAGCAGCCAGGATGATAACGATAAGGCCTCCAAATCATAGTAATAGTAGTTATATAGTAGTAACATGGTAGTAATATGGTAGTTATATGGTAGTAATATGGTAGTAGTTGTAGTAGTAGTAGCAGTAGCAGGAGTAGAGCACTCATACAGGGGACTCTACATGTCTGGTTTCAGTCGGTCAGGTTCCTTCAGGAGTCGGCCTTGCCAGTGATGCTTTGCGTAGCCGGCGGTCAGAAAACATCGGGACCGGCTGGGGTTTAGTAACCCGCAAAGCAACCACCATTGCAACCTACAGCAGCTGAGTGTTTCAGAGTGAACCGGCTTGACAGCTGCTGAATAACCCGTGAAACCCCCCGAACCAAAGTCTCCAAGCGCAGCATGTAATTGAATCCCTACACAGCAACAATAACATGACGAAGCAGCCCTAACAGGCTTGTCCGGCTGTTCGGCTGTCAAGGAAAGGTCGCCAGTCACATGAATCCGTGACAGCTAGTGGCCACAGCTCAAATCGGAAATGAACCAACGGAGCAAATTCAATGGCGACAGGTGCTGTTCGTGGTCTATTTCACGGCTTTGGTTTTGCTTTTCAAGGCTCCATCGCCACGTGGACATTCCGACTGCGGTTCGACGGTAGCTTTGATGATAGGCTTTTCGGCGAAAGGGAGAGTTTGGGTTTGGAATTCTGCATTTGTCCCGTATGTTTCCGACTTCGGCCTCTGACTTCCCATCCAGCATGACCGTGTGGGGGACTCCGGGCCAAGCCTGTGTATCTGCTCAGCTTGGGGGCGATATCCGTGGTTTGATCGTTCTTCTCCCCAAGTCCGGAACGGTGTTAACGGTTTAGTTTGGAGTTGATGGGAGTTCGAAGGCAGGCACCTAGCGGTTGTCCCAGAGTGCGTGGGGCTTCGAGTAGAGCCCAAAGCCATACAGGCACCTTGTACAATAATAGGAATGGACCCCCCCTGAAGAAGAGCATCCTTTCCACGGCTGATGTTCCTGGTTGTTAAGCGGAGGCGTTTTGTGTGAACGCCTAGAAACCTGAAGCTGCAGCCATGGAAACTCGTCCCAGAACTCTCTGTGTCTCAACAACGGTCAGAAGCCCAAAACCTTAGCCAGGCGCCCTATTGCTATGCCTCCTACGTCCTGCCCATCACCAGCCAGAGCCCGGGAATCGGCGATTTCGAGTTTCTCCGTGAGGACGGTTGCGGATTTGATTGAGGCTTTGAGGATCTCATGCTCTCATGTTGGCGGCGGTGGTTCGTGGCTTGCAGAGGGAGAGAGGAGAGATGATGTGATGAACGATATCTGCACTCTGCTGCACAGAGAGAGCGCAGCGCAGACCCGGCAGAATTCTCTCTCTGCGAAGCTCCGGAGCCCCGGAGCTCCGCTCCGCCTCCGCCAAGGCGTGCGCGCCTGGCTGAAGAAGCGCTCCTTTCTGCTCCTCCTCGCCTCAGAGGCGCTGCGTGCTGTGCCGAAGGAAATCTGAGAGCAAAGAGGCTCCCACCACCCCGAGGCTCTCCTCGAATCCTATAAATTCCTAGAAACACGCCCAAAAGAGAGGCCAAAGAGGCCCTATAGACCCTCTCTCCTTCTCCTTCTCCCCCTCACTTTTTCTCTCTCTCTCTCTCTCTCTCTCTCTCTCTCTCTCTCTCTCTCTCTCTCTCTCTCTCTCTCTCTCTCTCTCTCTCTCTCTCTCTCTCTCTCTCTCTCTCTCTCTTCCTCTCTCTCTCTACAGGAGGCGTCTGCTCTGCTCTCTCACTGCTCTCAGCGCTGGTCGTCGCAGGTGTTCATCTCCTTGGGCAGCTACACAGCGCAGGACACATCATCCGGACACCACAAAAAGGGAGTCTTCCGCAAGGCTACAGGGAAGCTCCTCCTAGGTCTGCCACGGAGACGGTAGTGCAAGTCGCATATGTCATGTGTCGTTTAATTGTTTTGGGGGTTTTCGGCTGTGAAGTGTCGTCGCTGGGGATGCAGCCCCTCTTTGCACGGCTTGGTGTCCTGGACCGGCATCACAGGGCTGGAAATGTATAAACTTAAGAAACGAAGCACTTCGAAGCCATCAGACCCCTGGTCCTTGCTGGGGCATGCAAGAACTTAGAGCATTTCGAATCCACACCAGAAGAGGGCTGTTGCCTACGATGCTTCTTCTTGAAAAGGCGTGCTGCTGAGGAACGGCGGTTCCTGGACTGGGTGAAGGGATACCCTTTGTGTGGGCGGTTCCTTAAACTTGAGGATCCGATTATTCAGAGTTCACTTGAGGGTTTTTGATTTGTTTGGGATCGATGTTAGGCGTTCCCTACTTTCTGAAACTCTTACGATCATGAATGAGAGCACAAACCTCAAGCCTCTCTGCAGGACATAACACACTGGTGGGAGCTGAACGGGCGGGCGCCAGAAGAGATCCAGATGTTTGCCTTTGCAGCGGCGGCCTTGGCAATGAGCATTACTGCCCATTGCTGGGTTCTTGTCAAGGGATTGAATTTCAGCTACCGGTACAGAAAGGAAACCATATTATTTACTATAGATCCTTATTTCGATTGGGGCCCGAAGTTCACGGTTAAGGGCTGGACACCTACCAGATCCCGTGAGCTTCGAGCTCGGATTGCGGATCTTTGGACATTGCTTCGTCCTGCCATGCGTAGATTGGGACACGAAAGCCTCGAAGACCACCACAGCTGCAACGACTTAGGAGAAAGCCGTCAAACTGTTAGCAGACCAACCTTTAACAAAAGGTACTCTGCATTCTGATGCCTGCATGGAGCACCGTTCTGTCATTCATCTCAGATGGTGGTTGGACTCCCGCTGCTTCTGACAATCCTCTTCTCAGCGCTTCGGCGCCTGAACGTCCGAAGCCCAGGTCGTGGTGCGTAGGCGTCATGCGTCTTCTTTGTAGGCATTTGAAGCTAACAGCAGGTGTTGACCTTCGGGCTCTGTGTGTGTTGGAAGGGCTTCAACAAAGCATTGAAAATTCTGTTTTGGTGCGGGCCACACAAGGATCACACTAGTCACTAGCGTTTGTCCTATGGCGTGCGCCTTTACGATCTTTCTTTCCCTGCTTGCACCTATCATTGGGCTCTGTGATGCCAAATCGGCTGCGTCAACGAAGGCAGAGACTGACCTTGTTTCATATGCCTTATTACGGAAGCCATGTGGGAGGCCTTTAGTCCTCGGAACACCCTTAACCTGGCGGGCACCACAGAAGCTGCTCCATGTAGACCCCCAACATGATTGCAAGACCTTGTCTCATCCTCGAGAAAAGCTGGCAGGAATGAAGCGTGAAGGTCACTGAATAGCCGTCGAAAACCTTCCGAAAAGGTGAACTTGTGGAGTCTGCTCATTGCTTAAGGTCCTTAAATACCCCGGACGGTCGAAGCCCAACGCCCTCTAATCTCATAGAATCCTCAAAGAAAGACGCTTCACATCAGGTCTGGGGCCCCTGGGCTTTGCGAGACTTTGCTTGCCTCCTCCCGCCCGGCCTGCACGCGCCCAAGTGAGATGCCCCGAATACCAGAGCCAGGATGTTAGCCCAAGTTTGGGTCGCTGGGATTGAAGTGTAGGTACGGAAAGGGGCTCTAGACTTTTCGTGGCTGCAGGAGGCTGCACACCTGTGTGGTTGTCGAAGACCGAAGGGCTGCATGGTTGATCCTAAGGTCCTGCAGACTCCCAACCCCCCAACTCGAACCACTTTTGTAGGCTTTTGTCATCGTGAAGAGTATGGCATCGAACCGGGTCGAGTCAAGGTAGACGCCAGCCCTGATTCTCAAATACTACGAAACCTTCAACTAGAAGCCTTGCATCTGCCAAACTGCGGAGGTCACCCGAGTTCACCCTAGAAAAAACAGTGGATGTGCGTCCTACTCGTAAATGACTGAGGCTTCTTAGAGTCCTCGCAGTGTATGACGTACGAGGCCGGTGCATGTGGGCAGGATCTCTCCGTTTTCCTTCGTGGCCTGCAAGAACTTAAAGGATCATGGGACTTAGTGACTAGGGTTATAATTAGGGTAGCTGGACTTACAACTACTTATAACCCCAATTAGGGTACTTATAACCTTACTTGCTAAGTCCCATGATCCTCCAAGAAGGTTACCAAACGGTTCTGTTTGGTTCCAGAGTTCGCTGGTCGCGATTGTGGTTTTGATTGTGAGGTGTGTGTGTGTGTGTGGGTTCTCAATGACTTGGGCATGTACTATCGCATGCGTGGCAGCGCTTGCAAAGCTAGAAAGATGACGTCTGGCACTAAGGAGCTGTAGAATGACAGCACACCCCAACAGGACGCTACATGTGTCAGAAGGATTCTTGAGACAGGAGTGCAAATACTTCAGAATCTTGGAAAAATTGGAGAGCTGTCGATACAAACATTGCCTGCAAAGCACAGCGTCAAACCCGAAACCCTGCATAAGACCTAAACTCAACCAAACTCCGAGCCCATTCCCTACATAAAATAGTCTGTTTGGTTCTTAGTAGGGAATGGGGGAATGGGTTCTTGGGACTACTATACGGGCCGACTGGCACAGGCCACGATCGGTCAGAGCTCTTCGTGGCGGCCCTGCTGGCCGCTGCGGCAGTGGATGCTGCAAGGCAGTGGGGCGGCTGCGCAACGTCTGTCGAAGCAATATGGAAAATTTGGTGGGTATGGCGCTCTGCAGTGGTGAGTTTGGTAGGATGGAGTGCATGGAGTGATGGAGTTGGCTTGAACGCGACTCTGAGCGCCGCTCTACGTGACTGCATGCGTTATTTGAGGGCGGCTTCGGAAGCTTCCAAAGTGCTAGAACTAGAAGGCCCCATCGAGGTCAGGTGTACACGAGACACATTGGTGGCACCTCAAGAGATCGGGCACTTGAGCGCAGTGCCTACCCCCCGGTTGTGAGTGTCGCTGTTGCAGTGTTTCTAGATGAGTCAGTGAACGGACAGCCCGCCACTGAATTCTGATGAAGTTCTTCAGGTAGAGCTGTGGCTGTGACCTACCTGATCTCGGGTGTTAGCGAGTTGAAAGTCTGAATTTCTGGCTTCATCAAGGTAGCTGCGCCACCCCTCTACTGCGCTAACTCTCCGTCGAGTCTTTGTGCTCGTTCACGGGATAACTTGAACCTCGCCCGCCATGTTCACCCATGTCAGATATACCGCCGTCCTCTGCGCGATGATGACGGTCTTGGGCAACAAGTGGTATGCCATGAAGGCAGCTCCCAAAAAGCACTGTCAATTCCTTTCAGATTCGTAGCTGTGCGCCTTAGTCAGGTAGACTTTCAGGCTGGCTTCTCCAGAGCGTCCGCGGTGCCTGAACTAAAGGTTTCGCCCTGGTGGTAGCGGTCTTTGCGCATCAAGCAGCACAATCTCACCTGAATTCGGTCACTACTTCTTGTACCAGATGATTGAGCCTCATCCCAAGTTCACAACCCGCTGCTTGAGGTGGTATTTGTCCAAACTTTCTTGTAGAGTAGACTACAGGTTACTCTAGGGCTTGTAGAGGGGTTACGGGTTACTATAAGGTTACCATCAAAAGACTTCTACGCAGACTACAGGTTTCTACAAGCTACGGGGTACGGGTTACTGTAAGAGTAGCCTAGGTTACCAGTTAATGCAAGACTTTTTTCCCGAAGTTTAATGGACTAAAGCTTACCACAAGGTTCCCGTATGGGCTACGGAGACAATGAGGTTCCTACAAGGTTATCAGCTACTTCAAGAGAGTATTATACGGGTGCAATAACACATAGAAGATCTGTTTCCCAGGATTTAGACGACTATAGGTTACTGCAACCGTCAGGTTACTTGGAGGATCATGGGACTTAGTAAGTAAGGTTATCAGTACCTTAATTGGGGTTATAAGTAAAGTTACCCTAATTATAAGAACCCCGTTTCCCAGGGCTGCTTCCTGGCTGCTCTGCTCGCCTCCATCAGCCGCGCGGCGGCTCCCCGCTTTCAGCCGCGGCCTCGCGTCTTCGCTTGCTTTTCTGGATGCATACGCTTTGTTTGTCTGTATGTATGCGTGTATGTATGTTATATATATATATATATATATACGCAGGTATGTACGTATGTGGGACCCAGCCTGACCCTGAACAGAATACAAGGACTGCGAAGTCAATTCATGTCCGGAGGGTGCCACCTGAATGCCTGAGTCTGCTTGTGACGTGATCAAAACGGCTTCACAACGGATGCAAAGGTTATCGTTCTTGCTTGGCCTGGGGGCTCGGATATTGAAAAGCAGCAAATAGGCTTTCGCAAGTCGCAACGGTCGAAGCTAGATGTACAGCTAGGACGGACCAGGCCGAAACTTGCCTACAAGGTTTTCCCATGCGATCATCCCCAGACCAAGCCCCACGCCATGCTTGAAGACGTGTTCAGATGGTGGGTCGCTTCCATGGCTGGCAGTGAGCCGAAGCCCTTTGCGCGGGCGCCTAGCAACTGAAAAGGACTTGTTCGGAGGCTCGGTCTGAGTGCATGCAGCATTTCGGGCATGAACGTGCCAAGTGCAGGAACTGCTGCTGAGGCCAAAGCGAAAGGTTGTTTTGCACCGTTCAGTGCCGATTGCATCACCGTGCCGATGCAACAGACTGTGTGTAACCAGGTTCGCCAATGGTGCTCCAGCAACGGGGGGAAACGGAGAACACCACAGCATCGTAAGAATCTAACGAGCTCCAAAGTTGCAAACACTGAGGGCTTATGATCGAGAAAAGGGCTGCCAGATTCGGACCTTAAGCAATGACAGCTTCATTACATGAATCCTAGACAGGCAGCCTCCAGTCAAAGTTCGAGGGAACCCTCAACATTCGGAGGCAGCTAAACGAGTGCTAACCAAGAAGGTGTCAATTCTGGCATGCTTGACATCCGCACTGTGAGCGTTTCTCAGGCGTGATTGCTCTGCATTGTGTGGGTACAACAACCGCCTACCCCCAAATGCTCGAGATCCGGACCTTACGTGGACAGTCAGAGACCCTACCACCCGCAACCGCCCAAATCGGCCGTCTTGAAGCAATATTCAAGACGGAAACAGACGTGACTGTCGGAATCGGGAGCGGATTGCCCGAGGCTAGCATAAACTTAGTAGGATAGGCGCCCACGACTTAGGCAGGGCTGCCTGATCTTTCCGAACTTGGCTGCCTCCTCAGTGGAATCGTCAGGGGTGGGATACAGAGCGGACTTTGAAGGCTCGGGGAACACTGCTCTCGTCATGTCAGTGATGGTTCCAGAGAGCCCCTTGCCCGCCGAATCCTTGCTGGGGTAGGGGCTTATGCTGAAGCCTCAGCTGCACCCAACCCTTGCTCTGGCTCCAGAGTCCTGAACCTTCAATCTGCAGACAAAGCCCTACACCCCCAGACTCTGAACCCTTGAGCACCCTCATCTACTCTGTATTATATATATATATATATGCCCATAAATATATATATATATATATATATATATATATATATATATATATATATATTATATATATATGGACATATATCGAAAAGGCGTTGTAGTACGGGTCATATATATATATATATATATATATATATGTATATATATATATATATACATATATATATATATATACACACTCTCTCTCTCTCTCTCTCTCTCTCTCGGCGGTTTCTGAGGAGAGATGACCTTATGGGCGGTTCTCCCGCCGGCCTTTGCTGGCTATGCCGCTGCCCCAAAGGAAGCAAGGGCACAACGCAAGCTTTGGGGCTTAGGTTATGGGGTTTGGACGCTTAGGGTTTAGGGTTTTGGGTTCAGTGCAAGTTTTGGGCCTGGATTTTTGGACGCCGTTCAGAGCATAGGTGCAGGGTTTAGGGTTTGGCTTTTGGGTTTAAGGCCGTTTAAGCGTTGTTTGGAGTCGGGTTGAGCGGTTTAGATAACGGGGTGTCGGTAGTGTCTTGATAGGGACTGTTCAGTTCCGGCTCAGCTGAGTGTCTTGTCCGGCGGAAAGCATCCGGAACGAACCCGAACTGAGCTACTCATGATGTGGAGACCTTTGTCATCGAGCTGGGCACAACTGTGCCACTGCCTTGCGTCTTTTGTCTTTTGCCCGTCTCTGGATATGTCAGTCTGTCGGTCGTTTTGCCTGTCGTCGTCTCTGAATCTTCCCTGTATGCACAGACCACACGTGGCTCTCATTCCCATTCTTCTGCCGCTCTTGCTGCCTCTGATTAACATGCAGGCTTCAACCTGAATTCGACACGAGATAAAGCCTCAAGCCAACTTGCTGTGATCAGGTGTGTCAGGTTTTAGCTGTTCTCTTTTTCAACGAGGACGTGTTGACGTTCAAGGCCTTGGGCTGTTCTGGGATTCAGGGGTCCAACATCTTGCAATTGAGAAATTCTGGTTCTGGCTCCTGTGCGTGGCCTTTCCTTGGAGTTTGAGATTTTGGGTTTCAAGAGCAAAATACAACTCGAAATGTTCTAGGTTGAGGGATTGGGATTTAGGCAACTCCGAGTCGACACGCCAACAACGCTCTTGCAATCAGTTCCATGTACACCAGTGACAATCTCCATTTTGTACGCAGGGGACATGCATGACGTGCACATTGCATTCCCTTGATCCGAGTTCGCATGCCCACGGATCCAACACTCTTGCCCCACAGCCGTGACCTGGATATATGAGGTGATTTGCAGATTTGGGGGTTGATGTGCTCAATTTCTCCGAGACGCGCGATCCGAGCGACGATATTCTAATGTTCGTAAGCATGTCACAGAATCACTGGTTCCGAGGGCTGCTGGTAAAGACTCGCAATGCAAAACACAGTCTTGCGAACATCGCCAAACCGCGGGGTGGTACCTCATGAAAGATCTCCGCGACAGGCAGCATATCAGTTCTGGCTTGGGCTAAGCACTGATAGTGCGCGGGCCTTCGAGAGACCGGCTTGTGGAGAAGTCTCAGGGAGAGTTCTCTACCGTTTACCCTCTGAACCCTTCGGAAGCCGGTGGCTGCCAGGGCCACGGGTGTTACCTGGCCGATGGATCTGAAGGAGATCTGTGCACGAGCCACCTGGCAGCAGGAAAATCCCCTCCCCTGCTCTCCGTAACATAGGGGCCTTAATGATGACCTCTACTATTTTGGGGGGTTCCTTATTCTAATTATAGAATAATGGGGCCCCAAAACCCTATGCTAATTACTAAGGCCCCCTATATTAGCTACCCCGAGCTGCCGTTCCTGGAAGCTCCCAAGCCTCAAGCCAGCCAAGGCATGCGCAAGTTTTGGGTGGCGAAGGCACCTGCTCTTGAATGCAAGGGCTTGGCGTTTGTGCTTCCGGATGAAGCTCCAGGAGCTAGGGGCAGGTTGGCAATTATTGAGATAGCTTGTCCCTGCGTCACTTGTCCACGTCTGCTTAGATCGGATTTGTCACGAAGGAGAAGTAGTTCTGCAGCGGCACTAAACATGTGAACGAAGTCGAGGTTGAAGATGTTTCTCTATAGATCTCGCCAGACTGTTACGCAACTTTTTAAATGCTCATGAAATAATGCTGGAGCTCGCATGGTGAAGCTACCGGAGAACTGAAGCTACGAGCTGAGCTCCAACGCCTGAGCTAAGGCTCCCGAAAACCCAAATCGCCAACCCTAAAGCTTCACGTTTCGAAGCCGGGGGAGCCGAGAGTGAGATGGCGTTTGTGCTCAGAGGAAAGCCCCCAGAAGCCTTCTCCAGAGTTTAGGCTCTCTCGCTGTCAGCTGCCTTGGGCCCACCCTTTAAGGAAAGGATTCCTGACACGCGAAAGCCAGGTGAGACATCGCATGGCACGGGCAAGCTCGGCCTTGAGCCGCCAAAAGGACCCCGAATTCGTGCTGCGTCTTTGGCTTTCTTCGACAGCGTTTGCTTCGGCTAAGGGGAGCTGTTAGGGCTTCTCGAGGCAGCGCACTCTCGGCCTGGGGCTCATGAAAAGTCTTGGGATTGAGGACAACAGATCATGGTTGTTGGAGAGCATCTTCTGGACGGTATGCCAAGAAGACAGAGCCTGCAGTTTCTCATGTTACCACAGATCTTTCTTGTTCGAGAGCAGCTCGCTGAACACCCGGCCGGCAGGCTTCTGTCGCGAAGCCGCCTGAAGCCAAAGCGTAACTTTAATACCGTGAATTCTGATTTTTACTACAGCCATACATGGGCATTGTGAGATCGGCTCGGGCTCAAAACTATGTCTGTCAGTAATGAAAGGGAGCTTGGGAGTTGAGGATTTTGGAACGATGGTTTTAAGCTTTAAGATTCAGAAGCCTCGGAATGTCGTTGTGGGCAGGGAACCCGAGGCGTGAGGCTTCTGGTTATAGACTTTGGGGAATCGAAGCATTTAGCGTTTCAGGGATGGTGGTGTTGGGAATTGAACTTAGCATCACGTGTAGGGTCTGGAGAGTTCCCGGCCTTTTCGCATCTTGGTGCTGTGGGGATTTCAGGTTCGGGAGCCGAAGTCGTCGAATTTCAGGGTGATTCGCAATTCGGCCGGTGGTTTCCCGGTTCGGGCCGGAGTGTCGAAGCGCGTTCAACATTGGAAGCACTGTGAGGATCCTCGGGTTCGGTGAAGGTTTGCCGGGCTTGTGGCGGCCAGGACGCGCTCAAGGAAATCCCCAACCAGGACGAGGCAATGGTTTCGGGGCTGGCGCAGCAGTATATGAATGAACTGAGGAAAGGTGTTGCTGCGGCTTCTCACAACTCTTTGGTTTACAATTGGGTGTATGCTTGAAATGGCCTGCACTTAGCTCTACTATGCGTGACAAGTCTTTCGATTCTTCATTGGCATGAACCTTGTGGCTTTAGGGTAGTTTGCTTGAAACAGAAAGTTAAACATTTCAGCTCCAAAGCACTTCACTTGAAGAAGCGTGCTGACTGCCGAATCATTAATGTTTTAGCTTAATCCGCGCTCTTTGCAAGCCCTCTTTTCAGGCTGCTGGGGCCAGCGTTTTGCAAGGATCTCAGTGACTGACTAATAGAGTCCTACTCGGATCAACCGAGATAGCTATGACCAAGCCGAAGAAGTATGCAAAGGTGAGAGAGAGTGCGGGGGGGCCTCAGACCTGGCCTGCATTCCGCACTCGGCTGCTATCGAGCAGAAGCTGCTGCGTCAAACTCGCGCCGCCACGCAGAGCCTCCTGATCCCATAGTGAAAGCACGACAGAGTGCAGAATGCAAGAAGAAGGCTCCTATATTATAATACTCTTATAGATCCCTTATAGTAACCCTTATGGACCCCTTCAAAGGGAACCCTATTCTAATTTTTGGAAGGCCTCTATAAATACCGAAATTACACCCAAGGCCGAGCCTGCTGTTGTCTCCCCGCCACGGAGCAGGAGGCCGGCCTTTCTGCAAACTCCCCCAGTAGTAGAGGAGGGATGATTTTGCCTTCTTTGGGTAGTATAGTCCTTACATAATCCCTATATACCCAAAAAGGTTAACCTCTCGTTCCCCATGATACCCGACAAGTAGGCTCCCTGCCCGGGGCGACGGGGCCCTTGTGGGCATTTTTTGAGCGGTGAGTGCTGTTTAGTCCTCACATGTACAGGGAGCAGGTTGAGTGTTTCACGGGAATACTGTTCAGAGAAGTGTGCCTGCAGCCACTCCCCAAAGCTTTGGATCCTAACAAGAGCAGCATGAATAAAACTCTCTGAGCCCTTACCCAACACATTGTCCCACGCAGAGCACCGAGCGAGAACGCTTTGAGCTTGTCGTTCCTCGTTCCTTGCAGGATCAAAGCATCTCTGCTTATCTCCGAAGAGCGACGAGGAATACTCCCACCAGGTCGATTTCTTGAGCCGAGCCGATCTTCAGTTTGAAGCCGAAAGCTGTAAAGCTGCAACCGCATGTAACCACTGTCATCCAAGGCACTGCAAGACTTGCGGCCTTGCTGTGCTTATGTTTGTTTGCTGCACTTTGGAGTTCTTGTGATTAGATGGATTCCGTAGATCAAGGTTATAGAGTCTCCATCGAACCTTGCCAGTGCTGCCAGTTTTGCAGAATCAGCGGTGCGTCCGAAGCTGCAGGCAGACCCTATATGCCGAAGGCCCCAAAGCAGCAAAATCCCATGCTGCACCTGTGATGCTGGTGTCGAGAAGCACCACGGGAGTGTGTGAGGTGGAACCAAAGTTCGAGCCTCTGTAGGTCCATCCTTCATGCGGCGACGACGAGGATTATGACGTGCCGAATGAGCGCGAAGGCCTGAAAAGCACGAAGGGCCAGAACGGCCAGCGCTTCCCCAGCACAAGCCCCAAAAGCGTTAAACTCTGTATTGCACCCAGATCTCGCATTCTTTTCCCGTCCGAGGGTTGTGACTGCTTCTGAAGCACAGGGCCGGTGCAGTTGTTGCAGTGCCGTGGAAATCCTTCTAAGCACTGGATCTCAGCCGCTGCGGCAGGCATATCCGAGCTGAAATCTCCGTGGCTCCCCCAGCTTGGGCTTTGCATTTCACGAGGCAAACGACGCGGCCGTGAAAGGATCAGCGCGGGGCGTCTCCAGACCTTCCTGCATCTACGTACATTTTTGCATACCGGCTTGGTGGAGCTTGAAATCCTTGGACCTGCAGATGTCGGCTTGCCCGCATGATGCAGAAAACACTAGCATCGTGGACGTACGGAGACAGCTCTAGTTGACTGCTAACGGCATGTAGATCGATGGTGAGGATGGTGATGATGAGGCTGAGGGGGTCATTACTCTGATGGCGCAAGGGGCTCTGGTACGCAATTGCTGATGATTACACCAGAACCCAAGACAAGTTAGCCCTCGTTTTCGACGGTCACGGCCCATCGAGGCGAGCCGAAGCAGAGGACAACAATTCTTGAATCGAAGTGTCAGAGACTCCTCGGGGCTTTCGTCATCGCTCCCAGGGATGTATCCTTGGGAATGTTTGAGGTTTCGTGGGTTGTGCAGCATCTTTGAGCCGGCTTTGGGATGTGAGGACTCAGACCCTCGGTACGTGCCAACATCGGCTTAGTTTGCGCTCATCTCTGCTTTCGAAGGTTCGAGGGGTGATAAAGGATACCGAAAAGGTGATCTGGGGTCTTCTAAATTTAGTGTGGTTTGTGTTATTTGCTGTTGCGCTCGTTTGACTCTTCGACCTGTATGTTTGCGAGAACGTCGCTGCGGTCGCTGTTCTCGGTCATTGTTGGGACTGCTGCCCCTGGGTGCTTTAGTCAGCGCGATACTATCCACAAGCATACACAAATGCGTGCCCTACATTCGATATGAAGAAAGCCCATGGCCAGAAATGGTAGCATACACCACGTGCACCTGGGCCTCTGAAGTTTTTGACTGTCACCTGTGGTCAGATGTTCTGTTGCCAACCAGGGTTCTGTTGACAGGTGCCAGGTGCCATGGGGTTGGAGATTTCTTGCTATCCCGCCGCTCTACCCCTAGATGTTGCTAAGATTCGTCGTTGCCTGCAACCTGTTCTACTACGTTGATGTCACCACATGGTAACGACCATGACGAGGTGACAAGAGCATAGACAGGAGGATGTCGACAATGTCGACTGAGCCCAAGAGGTTGGGTTCGCTTGTCGCCAGGACGCGTGGAAGGTGGGAATGCCTGAGAAGGACCGCTCCGCTCTGCTCCGCTTCGCTCGGGCATGTTTTGAGGATCATGGGACTTAGTAAGTAAGGTTATAAGTAGCCTAATTGGGGATGTAAGTATAGCTAAATGTAACCATAGGTACTAAGTCACATGATCCTTTAAGAGTCCTCAGCTTGAGAAGCTCAGAGCCAGGGCCCCGCTTCGAAGGGAAGTCCATGAAACCTTTCCTGAGCCTTTCTGAGCCTTTTTTCGTCAAAGCCCTAAACCCTAAACCCCTAAACGCTCTTTCGGAGCTTTCTTTTCTCAAAGAAAATCACTGCTTTGAGTCTTGCCTTGCCTTGCAATGTGCCCCCGAACTACCATTCCTTCCCTTCGCACGACTTGCGCACAGCTTCCTACATCCAGGTCCAGCTGATTCCTCTCATGAGCAAGTTGCTGGTTCCGGAAGCTGTTGCAAGGTTGAGGGAAGTTCCATCAGAAATGTAAGACCCGAGATTCCGGAGAGCCTCGGCAAAGCAACCTGCAAGCCTAAGATCCCCACTCCGCCGGCAAGCCCGAGTCCCAAGGGGAAAAGATAGACCATAAACTCTACTTCCAGTCTTCCCTGACACCGCATCCCCATCCTCGACAGATGCTCGAACTGCAGACCGAAAGCCTCAGAACTCCGAGCTTGAAAAAAAAGACGCCAGGACACGGCCACCACGAAGAGTGCCGTTTCCTTCGACGTACAGACGGACTTCGTCACGCCAAGTAACAAGGACGGGGTCAGCTCCCGAGGGATTACCCGCTGCTTGTCGTGTTGGATTGAAGTTGCTGACTCTTATGGATGAGTGTATGTCGGAATGTTCTTGTACTGCACACCAATGCATATCGGCCCTCCGTACGGCGGGACTTCGAACTGCGAACTCTGCAATGCCATGTGAAGCTATCAGGCATTGCTGCCAGTAACCCCAAACAAAACTCGTCGACCATGATTTTGCAGTTCCGAGTCAACTGCCGTATCGATCGTCCCGAGACCTTGAGTTTCAGTGTCCAGAAATTTGTGTCCCATCTTCCACGCGCATTTGACTGCGGCTTCACAGGACAGCCAAGGAGAAGAAGACAAGGCGAGGGCTTTGAGCTCGGAGCGTTGGGACGCAGTGAGAGGCTGAGGCCTAGGGCCTAGGCTCAGGGCTTCGGGACTTTTTACCGACATTCGAAGCCCAAATCTGTGAGGCTGGGTGGAGTTCAATTGTGAGGCGGCCGGAAGCTTCGACTATTCACTACTCTTTCTACTGCTGCTGCCACTCCTACGATGACGACGACACCGAGACGACTGCTACGACTACCAGTGGTCCGACCAGCCCTCCCACATCGGGCTGCTACGCAAACCTGGCGACGACGCGACTGTGATAGCTGCAATGACGGCGAGTAGCACGACGCATTTCGATTTGCCGATGGTGCAGCGATATGAAAGCTGCCCTCATCTCTTGTCGTACTAGTTGATTACGCGTATGATCATAACATGAACTGCTCCTGCAAGATCTTGCAGACTCCAATCCCTGAAGCCCCACACATCGGCTCTGGAATGCCTGACTTTGAAACATCTTTGCATCGAAGAGGCAAGCCTCTAAGCCGCCTCAGTGTCTACATCATCTATACCTGGTTGGAACAGTCCTCTCTCGGTGTAATCGGCCCCTTTCAGGATGGCGCGACCACAGTGAGCTTCGCCCTGGGGACAAGCTTCGGCCAGGATGTGCCTTGGCTCAGGAAGCCGAATCTGCCGAAGCCGCAAAGGCACAAGCAGTGGCCTGCGGCAGTGGTCGCGCCAGTGATGTTAATAGTAGTCGCCGGCGTGATAGTGGGAGTGCGTAGACGAGGAAGTAGTAGTAGTAGTAGTAGTAGTAGTAGTAGTAGTAGTAGTAGTAGTAGTAGTAGTAGCAGTAGTAGCAGTAGTAGCAGTAGTAGCAGTAGTAGCAGTAGTAGTAGTAGTAGTCGTAGTCGTAGTCGTAGTAGTAGTAGTAGTAGTAGAAGTAGTGGTAGTAGTGGTAGTAGTAGTAGTAGTAGTAGTAGTAGTAAGTAGTAGCGATGATGACGACGCTGCCCCCAGCCCAGGAGGGGACAGATGCGGCATCCGAGAAGGCAACCTCGTCAAGGGCTTTTGGAGCGTTGAGGCTTTAAGGGTTCAGCAGCTTTGGGAAAGAATGTGCAAGTCAGGATATGCAACCTACTCATTGCGGCTCTTTGGGGCTTACTTTGGATTTGACTTGGTGTGATGGGAAGGCTGACAGAGCGGTCAGGCGAATCTGGCTGAAGATGTGGACGTTTTGCAGCCCGTTCAAGAGGTTCTTGCTGCCAGCAGTCGCTGAGCACACCCCTACCTGGTCCTACCTACTCTCCCCCGTTTTGTTTGCTCTTCTAGTACATAGCATCGCCTCCCAGCTCTCGGCTCCCGAAGACTCAGGCGCAGAGAGTGGCTGAGTTGTGCTAGATCTTGGGTGATACCCAGATTGTCCTTTGCTAGGCTTGTAAGCTTCAGTAGCATTCACGTATGTAACATGCCCCTGCGGTGACTTTGTCGAGCCTTCAGGAGCCAGGAGTCAAGTAGTGGAACTAGTACGAGGGGTGGCAGTAACAGCAGCTGTAGCAGCAATAGCAGTCGAAGCAGCAGTGGCAGTGGCAGTATCGTGGTCGTGGTTCGTTGTCCCCACAGCCGCCGTATACATGTTGGTGGTCTGGGCGGATTTAGGGGCAGAGCATCTGTGCGTGGAAGTAGGATTTGTCCATTCGGCGCGGAGGCCCAGTTTGACAATGCAACGACTGCACAAACACCTGAGCGCGAAACCCTTCAATCCAAACTGTTAAGGAACCCCGAGAACCAAGCTTTTTGCTGAGAAAGGCTCGAAAGCCCATGACTCCTGTTGTAAGCTCCGACGAGAAACCTCGTAAACGAACACACCCCGGCTTTTTTCATCAGGAGCTCGAATTTGCCTGCGATCAGGGCACACCGAAGAAGGCGCCGCACAAAGCCTTGTGACAAAGTTCGCGAGCTGAAGCCATGCGCTCCTGTACTGCTTTGGAAGTATTTGGGGGTCTCGAGCTTAGGGACGAAAGAGCCTCTCCCAGTGCTTGCCGTATCCCAGCATGCGACTGTCCTAGTTCAAGCGACAAGGGCCATGAATGCAGAAACCCAAACCCAGAAATGTTGCATGGGCTGGACATCCACCATCCACCGCCAGTTTGTGCCTTTGCCCTGACCCGTGGCGGCTGCCTGCAGTGAATTCCCTCGTTGATGAAGTCCTTTCGAGACATCTGTCAGCACAGTTCCCTCGAAAGAAGCGCCTAAACCAACCAAGCGAAAAGGGCCAGGTCGTTAGCCGATTTCTACAAAAACGCAACTAACCCCAAATGCCAGGACCCGGCTACCACGAAGAGTGCCGTGTCCTTCGATGTTACGCCAAGAAGTATTGATGAGGCTGCACAACCGTAGGTTTGTAGCTGGCAGCTTCACGACTTTTCGAAGCCAGCGCGGAGTTACATGACTTCGACGTTATCTCAGCTTGAAGCCATCTGCACACCCGTGATTCTTGATATCTTTTTCGGGATCGGCTGACAGACGCTTGTTTTTGCACACGGAAGCTTTTGGCGGATTTCAGTTGAATGCTGTCAAAACCTGCAGCTGTGCAGGATAGCCAAGAAGCGGAAAAGGCGGGTGGGAAGGGTTTGGGTGTTCGTCGCTACGTACTAACGGAAACGGACGTGCTTCGAGTCCAGACAACAGTGGTCAACGCACTCAACGATCTCGGGTTGAATTTTGAGACCCTTGTTGATACCTGTGGATTGTAGACTGGGAACAGCGTGTCGCTCACAGGCATTGCATTTCCTCCCCGAGTAGCCTTCCCTAGCTCTTGATCAGCTGCGTAGAGCATGTGATCATAAGAGGGGCCTGGGGAACTGTTCAGAAGAGGTCTGACGTGAAGCTTCAGATGAAGATGCTGTTGGTCAAAAATGCATTGACAGGATATGGCTCACACTGCGAATCTGCCGTCCCAGAACCACTCGGGGGACGCAGCTGGGCTCAACAGCTCGCCGATGTGTCAGGATCCTGCAGACTAAATTAAAACGGTCCAAATCCCCTACTTACCTCTCCCAGAAATTCTTCCAGGTTGTTGTTGTTGTCAGTTGGCCATGAAGGCCCCACTCCATCCCATGAATTCAGGGATGATTTGCTGGTGCTTTTGCTAGAATGAAGTGTCCACCTTTGTAATTTCTCTGTGGAAGTTGGGTAGGGTGTAGTTTGGAGGCGGATCCGATAGTGTGTAAGTCCGTGTAAGCTGGGTCAGGCCGCAGCTAAAATGAGTGTCGGATTGGTTCAACTCTGGGCCCAAACGAAGAAACCTGAACCTCCGATGTCACGGTCCTTGCATCGTCGGCATTATCGTTTTCTTATCGGGGCAGCATCGCCAAAAGCGGCATCATACGCAGAGGCGGCAGCATCTGCATGATCCTATTGAGCATCAGTGCCACTGTTGATTTCAATGCTGGTAGTACGATTCCCACAACGAGGACTCAACCCCACAGTGGGCCCGAACATCGGTCCAATCGTCCACTGGTCCGTTACGACCATGGGGGCGGGTCCACTTTATGGGGCATGGCTGTTTGAGCGCTGTAGGCCCCGATTGCACCTAGGAAGAGAACTTTGACGACGAGGCTTGGGCTTGCACCCAGCTTCAGGGTTTTCTTGGATGTTCATGCTCCTGGCCCAGCGCATCGACAAAACGATCAGAACGAAGTTTCGCTGCATCAGCGGTGTGTGTGTGTGGTTTGGCGACAGGCATCCACTTTTGATTTTGATGTGGCTTGTGAGTAGGGATTGCTTCAAGGCCACACCGGGCAAGCGCAAAAACCCTTGCATCACCGGGCCGGCCTTGTAGCCAAGCCCCCAACACCACACCTTCCTTGCAAAGGTTTTGGGAGGGGCACCTGCCGGCACCTGCTATGTGACAGGAGCACAGGCACAGCCTCGATGCGTGCAGCGATGGCGACGGAGACAGTGAACAAGCTCCCTGGAAGCAGGAAGTCACGGCACAGGGTATTCGGGGTGAAGGTCTCAGCCTTGACCCTGAAGGCCTTGAATTAACCCCAAACCGGATTCCTTCAACTGTTTACCCTGTGAGGGAGCAGTCTCAGTCTTTGATTCTCCAACGCAGACATTGCTTTGCTTTCGGAGCCTTCGGCATTTACGATTTTACGAAGTTTAAGCGATACTCCGCCGAGAGCTTTCTAAGCTCCAGGTCTCCCTATAGCAGCCCCTGGGCCGCCCTGGCAGCAGGCAAGGACGCATGGATGCATTGGAGAGTTCTGTAGATGCTCCACTGAAACAACCTTCAAAGTTCAAAGTTCTCGCTGGAGTTTTGTTTCTAGCTCTCGCGGTTTGGGCTGAGGTTGTTTGGTTGTTTCGGGAGTTAGGATTTGGGCCGCGGCTTTGGAGCTGGGCTTTGACATTTACGAAGTCATTGCGGTTGGTTTCGACGTAAACCGATTGATTGAGATTGCAGCTTTGGGCTTTCGGGACGAGTTGGGCCTGTACCTTCTAGGGATCTGGGCCAGTCCACGATCTATGGATGGCTACTGTCTTGCGACATCATGTAAAAGTGCATATGACTTTGTTTGGCACTGAGGATGATGGTGGTGATGGCTACTGTTTCCCACGGCATTCGCGAGCAATGTTAAAACGGGTGCTTCAGGTGTGTTACTTACATTGGTCTTACGGCATCTGGCTTCCGCAGCACAAACACAATACGGCAATACATGATCGGAGCATGTTGCTGAGTTCTGCAATCCAGAAAAAGGATACTTGGTCACCAACTTCAGACGCACCAAGTGAAAGTCCCTAGGCGCTTAGGCCCTAGCCAGCAGCCCAAACCCAGAAGCCTTGCACGGACGCCGGACAGGCATTGCAAGCCGCCAAATGACAGAAGTGACCCTGAGCCTTTCTCTTCTTCCGCGAGTTTAGAGTCCCTGTCATGGTCCATTCCGTGCACCGAGACACATAGGCCTTTGAGACCTTAGAGTCAAGGGTCTGGGCGATGAGGACTTAGCCTTTCATGCATTTGGCTCGTAGACTGCAAACCGCTGGGGTCAAGTTGGGGGCGGGGGCGAGATTTTTGAACCCTGAGAGCCAGATCTCGGACCGATGTGAAGCGTCTCCATGGGCATTCGTGGCACTTGTCCAGGCAAGTTCTATCACGTTCAGACTCAGACATGACGAGTTCTGGGATGTAAGGCTGCAGCTCTAGGCAACATGCAATCTTGGAGAGCTGACAGTGCAGGCATGGATGATGCTTTCAGATCTACCGTATGTATGGTGTCTCATCATGTTGTTGTCGCAGACGCATCCAGGAACTTAAAGCTCTCTAGCTCAGTACTCATTGCTAGCGCGATTGGCGATGCAGGATCGATGACAGGCACGATTGACAGAGGAGTTTTCGAAGGCTTGCAGCAAAGAGCGGCGCACATCCGTAATAACTGTTCTGCAGTCACGGGATGAACTTCTGCAAACTTGAAGAGATGTCGGTGTTCGGCCATTGTGGTGATGAGGACCGCTCGTCTTTGCTTCCTGACAAATGCACAGCGTATAGACTGCTTACACTCACAGCACGAGGCCTTCAAAGAAGCCGCGTGTATGAGACAGAGCGGCATGGTCGTCAAAATCTGGCCTGTTGTGCATTTATGTTGTGTGTTAACACCGCAAGACTCACTTGACCCTCGCATTCAGGGCACCACGTTAAAAACGCTTTCGTTTGTCTTCAACCTCAGACATATTCAAACGAGGAAGATTAAGCAAGTGCTGCGTATAGTGACATTCGATGTCTGACGACAACTTGTCCAGATCTTGGACATTTAGGGCTCAGCAGTTGGGAGTTGGAGCGTCGCAAGTTTGTGTGCATCGTCTGTAGACACCGATAGCCTAAGTTGTTAGCTTTGATGGTTGAAGCAGCATGTTGAAAGCACAATTCTGCGGGGCAGGGATTTGGCATGGGGAATTCGCGAAAGCATCTTGTCTTCAGTGGAACACCTCACGGTTGAAGAGGTACCGCATTGCCAGCATTTTGCACATACTTGTCGTGAGGGAATATACTCATCTTGCACGAAGCAAGCACTCTCATGTCGAGCCGGTGTTACTGGAGGGTCTGTGCATGCCTGGTGAGTTGTTTCGTGCGTCAATCTGGCATGTCTCTGAGTTGTTTTTGTGATTCCGGAAAGTTTGCTCACTGATTCAGGTGCACTTGCACGACTGTACTTGTTTTCCAGTAAGTCACCAACCTCCCATGATGCAGACGGCGAAGTTCAAGCCGTGCGGGGTTCAAGATTTGACGTGGGAGAAGGCTTCAGCAGCAGGCTTCCTCTTGCCACGGAGCCCCTGCCCCCCTATATGCTGTAGAAAAATTAGAAAGTCGTCCGCCACAAGGTGCAAGGACCCCAGATCTGCACTTGGAGAATGACCCTACAGCTCTCAGCGGTGAGCCTTTTTTGGCTCGAAGCATTTGACGTACATTCGGGAGCCAAGCTTAACAGATTTACAGCTTGAAGCACAATCCTTTGGATTGAGAATTTCGTTTTGAGGTGTTGGTTCATGACTTCGCGACTCGACCCTGCACGGCCTTGTCATAGGGCTTCCTGAGCTCCACCTTAGCACCGGCAGACATGAAGCATGCTTATGTAACTAGAGTAGCATCTGCACTCAGATGCATGGTGTGTTCACATGCAGGGAGGCCCAGGCATCTCCATTCCAAGACTGGCTTCCAAAACCTGAAAGGGTTTGTTTCACTTGTTCAGACGGTGGGCAGTTGCACTTTCTTGTCTTTAGTGTTGGACAGATTGCAACCACCGTGAGGACGTGGAACAGGTACGTTCCCGAACTGGTGCGATCACCATCGTCATCACCATCCTTACATTTTGAATCGTCGTGGCAGGAATCATTTCATGCCAACAACATGCGAAGGCACGCTGTTTGTCTGTCCTCAGAAGCGAGGAGAACTTGTGCTGAGTCTTGCCCAGGGGTTGAAGGCTGCCCCTCCCGAATCAAAGTAGCCTGTCCTTCGTGGGCCGAGCTCAACTCCATGCCAGGTTCCCGACAGATGAACTTCTTCATCCGGGAGACCGGCAAGGCAAAGGGAAAACGGAGAGACGGACCTCACACTGATACCCTCCACTCGAAACACTACCAAGCACCACCTGACGAGAGGATACCCAGCAGTAAGCTGTCACCTGCTGAGCTGTGCGAAAGTCGTGGCTCGTCGGCTCCGCAGGTTTTTGGCCCGGATCTTGCAAGAGTTTTCTCGTGAGATTTTTCCCGGCTGTCATCCATGCTGTTCGGCCCTTGATTGGCTGGAACGTACGGACACAACATGCACATGCATCCTACTCTGGCAGCCGCCGAAGTTTTGGTTGTCACGGATGCAGATGCTACCGACGGCGCGGGCTGTCAGGTCAATGCAAGTGAGGACAATGCAAGAGGTGATGATAGCTCTGCCAAGGCGGAAAGTGTCAGCGGCAGCGACAACATGTCCAAGATGAGCAGTGAGGACAAGAAAAGCAAGTTGGAGGAGATAGTCGTCGACGTGCTCAGCAAAATGATGCCCGCCAAGCCCGACATCATTCGGGCCGTACGGGCCGGTCGAGCAACATTCTGCTGTGGACGTGCCTTGCGGTCCTCAAGGGGCAGACGGGGCGACTTCCACGCAAGCTTTCAGACAGGTAAGATTGCTGAGTTCTGGAGCCACAGCTGGCATGGCGGCAGGTGGAGCAAGATCGTGACAGCCATCTACCTCAACAATGGACTGATCGCTCCGCTGATCGCAACGATTTGTGCAACGATCGCTGCATCCCTGTTCGTCGCTGGAGTGCTGCCCATGGAGTTCTACGAAGAGACCGCTAAGCCATGGAGAGCACAGTATCCTCTGGTGTCCTACTTGGCTAAGGCTACTGGCTTCATAGTCTACTGCACGATTCTGCTGTTCTGGCAACGAGGCCACGGGATCTTCCTTGACACTTTGTGCGTGAAACAAGACGACAAGAAATGGAAGGCCTTGGCACTTCTCAGTATGCCTGCCCTCCTGAAATCATCAGATTCTCTGCTCGTTCTCTGGGATCCAACTTACACAAGGCGTCTTTGGTGTTGCTTCGAAATTGCCGCCTTCCTGCATTCCAGAGGCCCAAGCAACCGGGGGCAGAAGGCGCACGTGAGAGTCCGACCGACACTGCTAGGCATTGGCTTCATCTCCATTCTGGTGGCACTGGCTACTGTTCTCTTGGCTCTAGCATTTGTTCCAGCTGATCCAGAAAGAAGAACGAACAATCACGAAGTCATGTGGCCGCTTATGGCTGGTTGTAGTTTCGTGGCATTTTATTTCAGTGTCATGAAACTCCGCGAGTTCTTCCGTTCTGTGGAGATGATAAAGAGTGAGCTAGAACACTTCCGCTTCGACAACTGTTCGTGCCACTGCTGTGCCACAAACCATCAGTTTTCGCAGACGTGCGATCGACGGATCCTGACGATATGCATAAGCCAGTGGTTTGGCAGCATCGACCACTTCGAAGACCTCATGCGTTCGGAAGTCTTGGCCTGCCTCACTGAACAGCTGCCTGGAGTGTTGGCTTAACAGCTCAGGCTTTGATTAAGCCTAAACCCTAAACCCCCAAACCCCTAAACCCCTAAACCCCTAAACCCTAAACCCTTAAACCCCTAAACCCTAAACCCCTAAACTTAACCAGAACTTAACAGCTCAGGCTTTGGTTCATTCGGGTCCTGTTTCGAAGAGTTTCCTCTTCCCGGGCCCGAGCGTGGCTCTCTCTGGGGGTTCTTAGATTTGTTTTCTCACCTGCTGTCCTCGCGCCCACTTGTAGTCCTCTAGAGTGTCCAGTGTCCAGTGCCCGTATCCTGTATCCTGTATCCTGTCGAGAATTTGTGGGATTGCGGGAATCCTGCAAAGCATCCTAGCGCCCGCCTTGGTCCCGCAGAGTCTCCCACTGTCCTCGGCTGCCAGAAATTCCCGCCGAAATCTCACAGCGAAGTCCCACATGCTTCGACAGTGCCAAGCAGCTTTAGGGTGGCATATTCGAAATAATGCGTCTAAGGCTCACAACGAACATTCTGACTTACCGGGAGTTTGTGATCATGTCTCTGCCCGTTTTGTGGCACTTCCTGGACACTGCGTCCGAGCCACTGAATTGGTACTTCCACCCAAAAGGCGGTCACAAGCCTTCTCTTCGTCACGAGATGCGGGTTTTCCTGATGGAGCTCCTTCGAGGCCTTGGGTGGACTTTCGGTGCCTTGCCCAGTCTGTTCCTGGTGACCTCGAGGCTGACGTGTCTGCTGCGACGCCGCATCGGCCAAAGCGACGGTGCCAAGAGGTCTTGGGATGTGCTCATCATCTGTAGCATCCTTTTGGTCGCGATCGGCCTTTTCGTGGCCTTCTTGCTGTTGGAGCAACTTTGTGGCTTCTCGCTACTGGGACCGGTCGTGTTCGATGTCATCCTATTTACATTAGCCTTCTTGCTCTTCAGATTTCTCCCGGTTCCCATGCGGCTGAAGGCTCAAGCAGTACAGACACATGAAGCTTGGTATTTGAAGCTCCTTTCTCTGTTTGGCATTGAGAGGTTCCTAACGTAAGGCTTTCACTTGCGACGTACCCCGCATCTGAGGAAGGCCATGGATTAGAAACATCCCCGTCTCCAGAGGAGATGGAGGTTTCAGCGCCCGCCGAACGCTATCGCATCCAGCTTTGATGTGGCAGCTTTCGAAAAGCAAACACTTATGACATGTTCCTGAAGTACAAAGTTGTACACAGAGCTGTGAATTTTGAAAGGTTTGAAGGAATCTGCTTCGTCTCTCTCTCCTGTAGGAGGGTCCTGACTGAGCAATCGGATTTAGTAATTACATCGTAAATTCGGGTTCAATCGAATTAGAGACGCTTCGCTTGAGTACGTCGGTATATGGTTTTCTGTTTGTAAGTTTCCGGGTTAAAGGCTTCGGGCCTGTGGAAGAGGATTTCGGGCTTCCGGTTCAGGTTTTTCTGGCGCTGTTTCTGGGGATGGATTTCCGGGTTAGGGGTTTAGGGTTTAGGGTTTCCCTAAACCGTAAACCCTCTGGGGCTTAGAGGGGAAGCGTGTCGGGCTTCCGGGTAGAAGGGCTTCAGGCTCAGGGTTTGGGACTTCTGGGTTTCGGGCCTGTGGGGGATGATTTCGGGCTTCCGGGTTTAGGTTTTTGGTTTAGAAAACGCGAATCGGGATTTGCTTAAATCCATGTTTACGCTTTAGCTGCTAAACCCGAAACTCAAATCTAACGAAGCCTGAATTTCAGGTTTGCTTAAACTCGAAATTAGCGTTTAGCTGAGCACCGAAAGCGGCAGCCGTGGCCGCAGATGGAGTACAGGCAGCAGGCCATGGCAATAGTCTCCTCGCCGTCGTATTGGTCGTCATAGTCACAGCAGCAGTAGGATGCACCGGCATCAGCTGCAGAAACTCATGAACAGTTGGCAGTTGGCACAAGAAGAACAACGAACAGCCTCGAGAAGCTTGAGGAGTACGCGAGAGTTCTAGAGTGCGGGAGCCTGTTTTGCATGTCTCGCAAGATGAATTTCAAGGAAGGCTGCAACAAGCGCTTGGATCCAGAAGTCGAGTCGGGGTTGAAATTACCTGAAACCGGTGACTAGAGACCATAAACCCGAAATCCACCCGTCCCAGATTCTATAAGCCTCTAATTTAGATCTTTAAACCGTCGACCTGGCCCATATCCTCCCTGCACAACTTGAGGAGTCGCCGAGACACGACAATGGGACGATCCTAACCGACGACGAGCCCCTCGGTTTGCTGTTTGGCGCATGTCAGCTGTTCTTCGGGCCCATCCAACCTTGCTCGCTGACGCAACCTTGCTCTCTCTGACACTTTGCAAGTTCTGCATTGAAGCACTTCACGACCAGGGTTTCAGATGTTGTGGGCAAACTGCGTTGGACAAGTAAATCATGTGATAGATCGTAGGGAAATAGATCTGGTGCCCAATCACCCGACACAAGAAAGCTGCTAAATTTCACGGGTCGGGGGGGTTTGGTCGGGAAAAAAATTATAACTTTGTTGGTTGTTGGTCTTGGTTGTTTTTCTTTTGTTTGGGCCTTGGGGCTCGGGGGATAATTTCAAGCAGGCCTTGCGTTTTAGATTTGTTTGCCATACATCGGAACCTCCCCGCTGTGCACATATGGCATGTATGTCGTCATGTAGGGTACAATGTAGGATCGATCTACATCACAGGATAAGAATAACGATTTGTATCTACCCTGAATTTGCATTGCCCCATCACGATTATTGAGCTTTCTGCTTGTGGTGAATTCACACACTCTTGTTGGAGCCGCGAAATTTGGGCCTAGAACCTAGAAGAAGCAGTGGGAGACAGAGCCGGGATGACGGAGTGGGCCGGGCCGGGGTGGCGGGCGAAGATTGACTGACTGATGGACAAAACACTAAACCCCTAAACCTCGCCACCTGTAAATCCTAAACGTCTCAGGTGCGTAGCCGTACACTCGGTGAATCAATGTTCTCTTGAACGTGCTTTGCAGTCTTGAGACATGCCTGACAGGTTTCCTTTATGTCGTTTCAGTTGGCAAAACCAAAGCTTGTGTGTTCTTATGCCGATGTCTAACATTTACTAGCATGAAATCAGACAAGTGAAGTGAAGCCGCCGCATTTAAGCATTTAAGCAAGCGCAGAACTAAACAGGATTCTCTTTTAGTACGGGCTATCGAACAGGGATCAGCTTGGGTTGGAAACCGGTATCGCCGGAATTGTGATACCACAGGGGAAACTGGCTCGGGGCAGCCAAGCGTTCATAGCAACGTTGAGATTTGATCCATCCATGTCGGCTTTGCCTATCCTTAATATCGAGATCATCGAGATGCAGAAGTCCCAAAGAGTCGGGACCCCGGCCCCTTCAGTCGTGCATCATACGATACGATATCATACAATACAATAAAATGTAATACAATATAATGTAATATAAGGTACTATGATATAATATAAAATAATGTAATATAATGTAATATAACGTAAGATAAGATAGGATAAGATAAGATAATATAACACATAATACAATATAATATGATATAAAATAAAGTAGAATAAAATATAATATATCGTAGCATAACCTGTTATAATATAGTACAACACATTATGACTTAACATAATATGACATAGCATATTATATTATAATACAATAGAACAAAATGATAAAAGAAAAGGGGGCGAGAGAGATTGAGCTAGATTTACTAACATAGCATATTATAATATAATACAATAGAAAAAAAACAAGGGGGGCGAGAGAGATTGAGCTAGATTTACTAATTTAATACAAGAAAAGATTGATCGAACCAGAGATGCTTAACAGCAGCACGTCGTAATCAGGACAGCAAAAACAAAGAAGATTACAAAACGAACGTCCCAATCAGAAGGACTCGATAACATATCGGTATCATTCCGTCACCGAAGCCAAGGCAAAATTTTCGAGGCTGCCGATGGCCTATAGCATCCTCGAGGGCCAGATTTTTCCCAATGATAACGGGTAGCCCCCCCCAGCGGTAGCTCTCGCCAATTTTCTAGTGCGAGTGGGATGCCAGGTTTTTCCCAATGATAAAAGGGTAGCCCCCCTGCGGTAGCTCTCGCCAATTTTTTACTGCGAGTGGGATGCCAGATTGTTCCCGACGCTAAACTGGTAGCCCTCCAGCAGTAGCTCTCGCCAATTTGTTGCTGCGAGTGGGATGCCAGATTTTCCAAACTTTTGCAAACCAACAATTGTACATTTTGCACACCAAAACTTGTTCTTTTTCAGGCAAACCAAAAATCATAATTTTCTTTCGCTTAAACCAAATTTTATATTTTCTCGCAAAACAAAACTTGTAATTTTGTTTCTCGCAAACCAAAACTTTTTTTTTGGCGTGCAAACCAAAAATTATAGAGTTCTTTCGCGCAAACCAAAAACTCATAATTTTTTTTGCGCAAACCAAAGATTTTTATTCTTTTTCGTGCAAAACAAAAACTATAGTTTTTTCGCGCAAACCAAGCACTAGAACTTTTTTCGTGCAGCCCAAAAATTGTAATTTTTTTTCGCGCAAACCCAAAATTAATTATAAATTTTTTTTTCGCGCAAACCAAAAATTATTTTTTTTCGCGCAAACCCAAAATTATAATTTTTTTTCGCGCAAACCAAAAATTAGAATTTTATTTTCGCGCAAACCAAAAACGTATATTTTTTTTATTTCAAACCCTAAGTATAAATCAAAATTATAATTAGGTTCCAAAAAACGCACGCGGCAGATTCAGGATTTTTGAAGGCCGAACCTTGAAAAAAACCTGAGCCGCCCGCGTGTGTTTTATAATACGCACGCGGGCGACTCAGGTTTTTTTCAAGGTTTGGCCTTCAAAAAACCTGAATCTGCCGCGTGCGTTTTTTGGAACCTAATTATAATTTTAATTTATAATTAGGGTTTGAAATAAAAAAATTTATAAGTTTTTGGTTTGCGCGAAAAAAATTATATTTTTTGGTTTGCGCGAAAAAAATTTCAATTTTTGGGTTGCGCGAAAAAAATTATAATTTTGGGTTTGCGCGAAAAAAATTATAACTTTTGGGTTGCGCGAAAAAAGTTCTAGTGCTTGGTTTGCGCGACAAAATGTACTTTATGGTTTGCGCGAAAAAAATTATAGTTTTTGTTTTGCACGAAAAAGAATAAAAGTCTTTGGTTTGCGCAAAAAATGATAAGTTTTTTTGTTTGCGCGAAAAAAAGCTTTAATTTTCGGTTTGCACGCCAAAAAAAGTTAAGTTTTGGTTTGCGAGAAATAAAATTATGAGTTTTGGTTTGCGAGAAAAAGTGAAAATTTTGGTTTGCGCAAAAAAAAAGGTTGGCACGGAAAATATCATTTATGGTTTGCATGAAAAAAGTATTATTTTTGCTTTGCACGAAAGAAATTATAGTTTTTGGTTTGCACGAAAATTGTTTTGGTTCGCGATAAAAAAAGAGAAATTTTTGTTGTGCAAAATATGTATAGTTTTTGGTTTGCAAAGGTTTAAAAAATCTGGCATCCCACTCGCAGTAACAAATTGGCGAAAGCTACCGCTGGAGGGCTACCCCTTTAGCGTTGGGAAAAATTTGGCATCCTACTCGCAGAAAAAATTGGCGAGAGCTACCGCTGGAGGGCTACCCCTTTGTCAATTGCAAAATTCTGGCATCCCACTCGCAGTAGAAACTTGGCGAGAGCTGCCGCTGGGGGGCTACCCCTCTATCATTGGGAAAAATCTGGCATTCCACTGGCAGTAAACAATTGGCGAGAGTTACCGCTGGGGGGCTACCCCTTTATCATTCGGAAAATCTGGCATCAAACTCGCAGCAAAAAGCTGGCGAGAGCTACGCCGGGGGGTTACCCCTCTATCATTGGGAAAATCTCGCATCCCGTTCGCAGTATACAGTTGGCGAAGCTACTGCAGGGGGGGCTATTTTCTACCATTGGGAAAATTTGGCATCCCACTTGCAGCAAAATATTTGGCGAGAACTACAGCTGGGGGGCTACCCCTTTGTCAATGTCCAAGGAAAAATGCAGACATGTTGTTTTGCACCCCCTTTGCAACTTTGGTTATGATGGTGGTGTGGCGGTGATTGGACGAAGTGGCAGCGCTGCCAGGTGTATTGATGAAGCCGAAAATCCAAAAGCTGTAGATGCCTTGACGAAGCCTTGATAACCGCAAACCAAAACAAACCTACAACATCGCACAACCCCAATTCCTAAAACCCTGAGAGAAAAACAAACACCTAAAAAGCTCGAAGCCCTAAACCCCCAAACAACCCTAAACCTGAGACTTGAGAGCCCTAAACCCTAAACTACGGCTCAAGCCCGGCTCACGCGGTTTGATATTCAAGCTGGCTCGAATGTAAGCTACGCCTCAAACGGCTCAAGCTCTGACACGAAACCGGTGAAATCATCCGTAAGACCACAAAAGTTTCCAGACCCTCCCAGACGACACGTGCCACAAGCTTGTAAACCTTGGCGGCCGGAGGGTGGACAAAATACAGCCGTTCAAAAACGAATACATCCATCCGTTCGATCATCAGGGTCTGCGAAAGTTTTTAGCGGCTCACCCTGTTCCAGCCTAGTTGATGCCCACATGCCTTGTGGGACTATACAGTTCGATCCCTGCAATGAAGCCTCGAACTTTCTGAAGCCAAGTGTCCTGCGGAATGGCTGAATCCTGAACACTGCCCTCGGGCCGGGGTTGAGCGTCTGAAAGTGTCCGATTGCGGTTTATCATCAACTCCTTGTATGTCTTGTGGTATGGCAAGGAAACTCTACCAAACGAGATCTGGGTGCAGTTTGCCGTTCCAGCCGCTCCAGCCTTGAAGGCTCCACACCATAGATCACTAAAAAAATTGGTGGGCAAGGCCCAAAAGTTATAATTTTTTTTTAAACTGAGCTTCCCAATAGAAACCCAGACCCGTGAAATTTAGCAAAGAAAGCTCAATGCAAGGACACTGCGTGAGAGCTGGGGTCCGTCCGGAAGGTGCTCAAAGCCTTGGTGCGAGAGATAAACTGTCTGCACTCGTACCGTCATGTTGCCTCACAGCTTATTTTGGGTTCATCTTAACTTTCAGCACGCATGTAGTGCACAGACGTATTATACACGTTCTGTTTTGTGCAGGCTCGCCCTTGCAGACGTTCGGCAACTTGAGGTGTCTGACTGTCTGACCCATGAAGCTTCACCCGGGGTAAGATTTCTTCTAGTGGCACACTCAGTATATTCACAGGAAGACTTGCTCTGGTGTTG